TTTCTATGTAGGGCAGATTGTCGGTCGGAGCCGAGCACCAGGCCCCCTGCACACCGTCCAGTCGAGCAAGGGAAGGGACGTGGTTTATACTTAATTGCGACGATGCTGTGATGCTGCTGTCCTGAATTTTCTTGTTCTGCATTCCCAGGCTTGCATTGCACGCACCTTTCAGAGAACAGAGTCGAATTTTAGCGTTAAGCACCTCGCGCGGGATAAACGCCTTTGTTCGCATTATAGGTGGGATGTTCGAGGCGAATCCATATCAGCGAACAAATGCGTCCTAATTTGTACAGAAGTGGCAGCATACACTGACAATGATCTCAGGGATCTGACTACGGCACTTGACAAGTTCAACGAAAAATTCAAATTTGTAAGGTGAAAAACCGCGGAATTTAATTTTTCCTTTCTTTTATGTTAATTGTCCAGGGAGTTGTCCGCCGACCACGCAAAAGAAATAAAAAATTCCATGATTCATCCTTTCATTTCAGTCTCACAGGAGTTCTGTCCGAACATGAAACATATGGAACCAAATGAACGAAAATTTTCCGACAACGCTCAGGGGGTAATAAGTAATATAAACTTCCTTGCGTGTTGCTAAACAAAACAAATACTTCAAGTATCAGTCAGTTTCAACACTTGACCTTTAATACCGAAAGCTATCTCACAGATAGATTATCGATGAGACTTAGGCCAATGTCTCACATATAAATAAAGCTAGAAATTACCGCATGGGGATGAAACTGGACTAAAAATTTGATTAGTGCAGATACATTGTTTAGGCTCAATCTCTCACGTTTGCTTGACTTTCCTATCTTTTAAACTTCCTGTTTGATGATTTGAGATATTAGTATATTAATGGCTTTCGTTGCTATCTTTGCACAGACGTCCTTTATAAGTTAGCGTCTCCTGTTTCCTTTGCGGAAAACACGAAAAAAGATAAATAGAGAGCGCAGTCTAGGTTTTTTTTATTTCATTTAGATTTTTGATTAAATAGATCTTAGGACTATTATTGAAAAAAGAATTAAAATTACGCTGACAAAGAGCGTTGCATGGGGAAAATACAAATATCAAAACAAGCTATGATGTATACCACCAACGCAGAAACGTCTTACGACAGCTTACGTGTGGCTATTGCTTATAACAGCAGCCACATTAATACGATGAGTCCCTCAGCGACTTTTATCAAAATATAACAGGTAGTCTGTTTGCAAAATGTTTAGGGCCGTGAGGATTTCTTATTCAGTGGGGTAGAACCAATCATGAAATAATATTTTGATTAAAGTAAACAGTGGAATGCGATTCGACCAGAAATGAAATTTGGCTAACCTTCAACGCCGCGAGCGTTCGACACAATCCATATGACACACGCGGTAAGTAGAATCTTCATTATATTGGGTCTGCTCGCAAAATGGATGAACACTCTACTGGAGAAGGGTTGAAGTAACTAGAACAAGACCATAAATGAAAAGCGGCCTTCAACGAGGGACCTGAAACGGTTGTTTTGCTCGCTCAGTATGAGGTTACTCTCGGCGAGATCAGTCACGTAGCAGCTGACATATTCAACCAAAAAGTTCCTTATGGGTTGTGCAAGTCCAAGCTTGCTCAGTCGAGCTATTTTTACAATGTGCTTTGATAATCAGATCCCCGCGCTGTGTGTTTGGTAATTGTTGTAGTATTCTGTATGGAAGTTCTCGGCTATAATACTTTATTTTATCAAAGCTTCTATGTATTTAGGCAAAATTCAACGCTGGTATTTAGTTTGCTTAGTCCGCATTTCAATTAACAATTGTCCAAGAACTAACACGACGAAAAAATCAATGACGCAAACGGTTTAACTTTATTTAGGATATTTCAACGTAAGCTGGGAGGGGATGGGTAAATGATAATAAGCTTTCTGAATCTATTATCCTCGAATGAGAGAAATAGTCCAGGCCAAAAAAAAAAAGTAACCGTTATAGTTGTTTCGTGGAAACCTGCCAACAGTCAATTTCAAGTAGCTGCTTCGCGATGGTTAACGTCGCGTCAAGTAAAACAAGTTTGTAAACTGAAAAAAGAATACTCTGCCAGATCTGGAGTACAAAGAAACTGACATTTATGACGTCTGTAAGCTGAAAGCTGACAAGGAAAGGGGAAGGTATGAATAGAAAAGATTAAAAGATTGCAAATTACGAGCCTTGATAAACTGATTAGGCCAATGTTTCTTTGGTTTAAAAAAAAAATGTTTCTTTGGTTTAAAATTGTAAAATATTCTATAAACTTTGAGAAGGTACAGGAGTATCTGCCTCTTGACACAAACTCAACCAAAAGAAAAATTTTTCATTTTAGTTAAGCTTAAGTGCAGCACTGTTGGATTTAAATAAGAAAGAAGATTATCAACGGCTCTCTGCTTTCTTGTCGTGTTTATAATTCCTGAACGATAGAATAGCCTTTAGACAAATGTATTTTGTTTCTTTGGGTAAAAAAGATTCAACTTTAATAGAATCACGCGTTTTCAACGACAAGAGGGGTCAAAATGAGACAATAGACCTCCAGCTGAAGAATTTGTCACCTTTGCATAACCAAAATATGGGTTGTATTCCGTGAAACAAGGGCTGTATTAGGGATAACGATGTATTTTATTAAAAATAACGCCAAACATTCAAATAAAAACTTACGAGTGACAGGCATTTCATTTCACGAGGTAACAAACATTCTAATACAGTAGATTTAATGCCCCCGTCGCGAAATATATCATACGGTATGGTCTAAGCTTAATTTCAGGGCAACAGTAGGTGCAGTGAGTTGTGTGAATAAACAGAATTCCAACCTTCAAACCTTAAGAATTTGGATGCGAGGTAAACAGATGATTGGATTGATAAAATTCATTACTACGCAGAGGAGAGGGCACTCATTTAATTTGATAGTACATAAGATCACAAGCTGATTTGAGCATCATAATTTTGATAATTTGCGTTTTTTTCCATACCATCCTTGTTTGCTTAAGTGACTTGCGTTACTTTACATATCATCCTTGTTTGCATAAGGGACTTTCACTCTTTAACAGTACCTTAAACCTAAAAAATCGGAAGGCTTTAAGTAATTAAATGAATGCAAGAGAATGATAACGTTTAGTGCTTTACAATTTTACGTTGCCTAAGAGTTTAGAGAAAGTCATTTCTTTGAAGTCCATTTTACGACGAAAAATCATTACCACTTATCTCAAGGCGAGCGAGACAAAGTTCTTTCTCGTTAAAACCTTGGAAAATTGCACGTCAAAGGAATCTTGACTTATTACAATTAGTTCCTGAAACCAAAGCATTGAATCAGGAGTCATATTTTGACTGTCAATCGGTCTGTCGGGCGGAAAATACCAACAAACTATCATAAAAGTAAGTCCCCTTCGTTGGCCTCATTGTGATTCTCATGGTTGTGAATTAACAAAATAAAAAGAAAAGGACAGACATCTGAAACAATAACGCTACGCCTCTTCAGCTACCTTTTTCTAAAGGCGTTCGGCTATAAGAAAATAAACATCCCAAACATTGAAAACTCTGAAAGAAATACGAGACTTACTGCAAAGGCTGACGAGATTTCGAGACCGCACAAATATTCGCGAGACCCACAATCTCTCAAAGTTACGACCGGCTATTGCTGTGCCTTTCTTTCTTTGGAAATAATCCTGGGCTTAACGAATCTCTTGAATTTTACATAAGTATTACAGGTCTGATGCAAAATACAGTTTATTCAAAGTTAATTTCCGGCGTTACTAAACATTTAAAAGCTCCGAGATCACCTTAGCTCACGATTAGCTAGAGATGTTTCATTGATTGGTGCGATTTAGGGAGTATTAATTTAATATTATAGCTCACTATATTCTTGCTTCATCATCTCTGCTGCTCTCTTCTTGGGTTTCAGGCCATATCACTCCAAGATAAAGAGGAAGTTAGTCAGGGTTGATACTCTTCCCCCGGCTAATCGAACATGAAATTTTAGCAGGATAGAATAATAACTAAGAATACAATCTGCATAAGACTGGAGATTCTGCTCATGGCGTATTTCTAAGGCGGGTATTACTGTCTCAGAATTCCTACAAGTTCGATCATGACGTTGCAAGCAAACGTTTGACTATATTTGCTGCTGCAAATGAAAAATCTTGAAAAGAGCCCCATGTGAAACCATAAAGCGAACAACTGAGATGAATGAACGAACTGGAAAGAATAAATGAGGAGGGAAAGAAACGAGTCAAGGGAAAAACTGTCGACCAAACGAACTGGAACGAATACACGAAGTAGGGAAAGAACCAACCAAGGAACAAACTGAAAACAAACCGATCGAAAGCTGTGATGAACCAAGGAACTGACTGACAACAAATCATCGAATGAACAACTTAAAATATAGATCCCTGC